AAAGTTGTTCTCATCCAGGATGGACTGCAGTTTCGACCTCGCATATGTCTTATCAACATCCCCAGCGGGATTCGAACCGTGACGGTGCAGCATGTGAGTTTGACACGTTAACCACTCGGTCACATTTCCACGAGTGCCCTTGGGTCACAGGGCTGATGTTAATTTTAAGGAAGGCCAGGCCTTTTGCCATATCGCATTCTCTGGCGGGAGTGTCGATGAAGCAAACGTATATTTGCTGTAGTCGATTAAGACTACTAGTTTATCCAGGCTACCACTTTTAGGAACGAAGGTAGAAAACGGCAAAGTATCGGCCAGATATAGTATGGAAAATGGTATCTATCAACCAAATGGGCTCACTAATACTCGCAAGGACACGAGGGCGTGTTATTGAAGCTGCATCGCTTTATGGGGGTTCCATTTCGTCCCCTATGAATATGATGTAAGGTCTTTTGAGCCCAAATTAAACAAAATGTGTATATTTATGCTCAGTAGGGACAGGCCAGTTAAAATAAGAACCTACAAAATTCTTTTCCAAGGTTTACTGATACTCGCATTACATATCAATAACTAAATCTGTTACAATGGCTAATAAATGTTTGTTTTACCTCTTCAACTCCAACATAAATGTGTTCTTAGTGAGGTATGGCTTGTCTTGGCCATTTTTCGAGCAAGATCCGGTTTTCATTCCAATTGGGAGTGAGATCAAAACGGCAGTCCAGCCAGGAGGAGAAGTGAATTTCAATGGCATCGGGAAGCTCACTCAGTTTATTGCAGGAAAATTCAATGGTCACTCTTTTAATTGTTTTGGGAGACCATGAGTGACTAATTTAGTAATTTTTGATATTCTTGAAAACTACTCGACCCATCTAAAATTAACTTGCCTCTGATAACCGACAAATGTCATGAGGAATAATTTCGGAGTATGCAGCATCTCAACATCATCAATAGATTCATCTGTTTTGACTGCTCCTGTTGACGTCGTCTCCCTTGGAGACAAAAATGCATTTTTCTAATTTTTGCTGAACACTTGCAACTGCAGGGGCAACGCATAAACTGATTGTCCTCGATGAACAAATAGGTGTCTTCGACAAGCCCAAGAAAAATTATCTCGACAAATAGCCTGAGGAGCAGTTGACTCCTTAACATGTACAGATGCATCCGCTCTCAGAGGCGAAAGTCGATCTGGTGATGTGGTTGGTATCGAGTAGACAAGCTTTTGTACAGACGCGAGTGCTACTTCAGGCGAATTGGTAGAGAATAAAACTGATTATAACTCAAGCCTCACTCCTTGCACTTTGACGTCTGGCCTATACGCCTATCAGACTGGGTGTATAGTTGAGTGAAAGCATGAATTAGAGGCTTTCCTTAACTATGAAAACTCATGCTGAAGAGATTCGTACGCCGACCTCACCAGAAGGAGACGGCTGATTTACGTTGTTCTGCGTCCGTTTGGCGTCACAATCCAGGGGGCATCCTTTCTAGTTTCGGTTAAAAACGAACTAAGCTTTCGTCCATCCTGCAAATTTTCCCACAAGGATATGAGTAAACATGACGTTTCCATTGAATTTCACATAGAATTCCTTTCCCAAAGTTATTCTTATCCATGGTAGATCTCGTCTAGGTCTTATCAACACCTCCTGCGGGACTCGAACCATGGCAGTGCAGCGTATCATCTCGGAATGTTAACTATCTTAAACGAAATTAAACGAATACATCTCATATATATGAACTACTGGTTGTCTTGAAAGCCTGCTTATAAGAACGAAAAACAAGTAACGTTGTCGGTTGCCATAGCAAATACAACTTTGCTTAATCAGCAATCCCAAAAAAGAATGAGGTATGAGAAAATGCCTGACCTTCCTTGAGATTCACATCTGCCCTGTAACTCAATGGCATTCCTGATGGTTAAATTGTCGAGATTATATGCCGCAGTGTCATGGTCCGAATCCCGCTTGGGGTGTTGCTAAAACCTAGGCGAGGTCGAAACTACAGTTCACCCTGAATGATAATACCATTTGGGAAGTAGGGCTTCGTGAAATTTGATGAAAACGTAACGTCTACTTACAGTATTGTGGGAAAATTCAACTACCAATGACCTTATCTTCCTAAATGAAATAGGATGAATACTTCCCATACATATGAACTACTGGTAGTTTCGAAAGTATACTTATAATTAATTATTCCAAACGCTTCAAGTTGACACTGAGCCAATAAGACTATCCGGCTCTATCTTACATGCTATACAGGCAGGTCGCAATTTGTACGAGTATTCGTCCTTTGACAATATCGCACTATTCAAAATCTTAATATTCGAAGCAATTATAGCAAATAAAATCCTACATTAGTTTGCATCCTATTGAAAAATGAAATTTTATCCGTTTTCTAATGTAATACAATAGTTCCGGAGAATTAAAAAGTATTACAAATCAAAGATACCTTATAACCAAGGCAATACAGCATCATCACCTGCAGTTTAGGCAATTCCCCATATAAAAGTACTTAAGTAGCATGCTTAGTCCATTGGCTACAATAAAGAAGTCGTCTCTGCTGGTAAAAATATTACTTTTACATTTACACACAAATCTTTTAATGTGGTACTTCTATTACCAGAGGTGGCCTTCAAATTGCATCCAATCGATGCAGATTTACCTTTTTTCCTTTATTTCATCCATGTCTTCTAAACCATTATGTGTTACTGATTCATACTTTCCAAAATCTCAACCACTTTTATGTCTTTTAATTAAATCATAGTTTTATAATTGCCTATATTCACTTTAGCCTCCTTCCCTTTGTTCATATTTACTAAAGGTATATTAAATTTATTTTAATATTCTCTAATGTACATATCAATCTGGATAGAGTGGCAAGCTTCTACATGTGCATGAAGGGTAATAGTCTGCATCTTGAACACAACATACACGAAACCCTGTTTTTCTACATACTAAAAACTCAATTTTGGCTCATATCATATGCGGCATGATGCCAATTTATAACTCATTCTAAATTATATTTCGTACTACTTTAACTAGTATTAATTGCAATCTACCTGTAATTCTTTTTTTGTTTTTAGTTTTGGGTATATATAAATATATATATAAAATGTAGGAAAGTGCCGGATCCTCTTTTCGGCCCAGTGTTAACTTGAAACTCTCTCGATACTAAGTTTCAGCATGTTCTCACATGAAACTAGGGCGAATGTCTCGTGGATTGTGCCAAGCTGAACTTGGTATCAAGGCCTAACGACTGCAGAACAACGGAAATCAGCTATCGTCTTCTGGTGAGATTAACCTACGAACCTCTTCGCCATGCCCTCTACAACAGTTTTAATTTACTATATTCATCGAAACCCAGTTAATCTTCATAAAAACTAGGTTGCCGTGTGCAAGCAGCCACCCGACTAAAGGCAAGGGGACGCTTAAATTGGCAGACAAGCTTAAGACTTCATCGTCACCAGCCTCACAGCGACCCAAGCAAGTAAGTAGAGCTTGTGCCTAATACGATTTATGGCATTGAGCCCTTGGGGGGAGGTGCAGGAGAGGTTTCATGGGATTGCCCTCACCTTTCACAAATTAAGTATCATCCCGCAGTTTCAGCCCCGATGCATCCTGTTTTCTAGTGCCTGGATTACATTCACTCTCTAAATCTGTTTTCAAGTTCATTGCTTGATCTCGAATTGCCCGAATTTTGCGAACCTTCGACCAAATCAGACACCGTGCCAACTCCGGGAAGGGCTTTACCCCCACACGCCGCCAGGATGCTCGTTGCCCCCATTCGTCCTGGTGACTGCCCGATTTTATATTCACCGATTTATATTCCAGACCCATTGTTGCTCAATTAGGCCAGTAGCGACAACCTCAGAGAAAGTTGTCTCCATCCGCTGACTGGGGCTGTAAGAGGTCGTCGGTAAATACCAGGACGGTCTACTGAGTTTATTATCAGATAACCATGCTGAAAAGTCTCGGCATTACGACAGCACAAGCCTCGATATACGAGGCAAGAAACAAAGGGGCATTACAAAAAAGCAGCTCCTTCGTCAGTGCACCGAACCAAGACCTCGCCATTCAGAGCCATGCTTGGCTGGGTCTCAAGCGCCCATTTGCCTCTTCACAATTCAGTCCAATCAGCCTTAACTGGCAATAGTGAGGGCGAGGCTGACCTCAGGGGGTAGGCGTGGCACGGTGTTCGGCCGAGATTCATGTCTATTTCTTACTTCCGGATGGCGGTTCGAGTTTGGGTCATTTTGCAAATGCCGCCCCATTTCACCCACGGGCAATCCGGATCCTCCTCGTATGTGAAATCAAAGTAGGTACAGCCTTTATTGCCATGGCAATTTCACAAAGGCAACCCAATCTGAGGGGTGCAGAGCCTCGGCAACAGTTGCCAGGCGAGCAAAAAACAAATGGCATTGTTCATAAATTGTAAAATGTGCATTGCCTTAACGCTAACATGTTATTTTCGTTTGAATAACTCTATCAAGATTGCCATTTCGATTAAATCCCTTTACAGAAGGGGGTCTTGACTCTACTCCCCTGTCGACTCAGTAGCTGGGGCACTCTGGAAGTGAGATTATGGCAAAATCTACAGGTAGTTGGCCCATTTGATATTTTTTGCATCGCTCATGCCAAGACGAGGCTTGAATCCCACCAGCCACAAATCAACTGAGTCATCCATCGCTTGGCCGTCGGGTTTCGAACTCACCTCCTTTCGTCACAACCCGACTCACCTTGCACCATCAAACCGGCCTGGGGCACTGAAGCTTCAGGCTCTCAGCAGGCGGTAGGAGCTGGTCCCTTGGCTGTCTCGGTGGTACCTTTCAATCGGTGTACATAGTGAACCCATGCCCGGGTGCAATATGCGCTCAGTTGCCCATTTGCGCGCCATACACCCTTTTTGCTCCTCTTTGCCCACATGTCCGTCTATGCATGCTAGGGTTTATGTGCCTTGTTTAGATGGGCCTGCAGGCATGCTCACATGTGGCCATGCCCTGCTATGGACCTAGCAACATTCAGTTTCATCGGTCAGTTTGGCGCTAATTCCTCTCCTTTCTCTTGACCACAGCCAAAATGGACAGAGTGCGGAGGGGGTAGAGGGGACAAATTGGTAAAG